TGCAGTACAATCCATGGCCAGAACATTGTAATATCATAGTTCAGTGTGTCAGAAAAGATAGACTTATCTCTGCACAAGACTGCTTAAGATAAACTGAGGAGGGGCGAAGTATTCAGACATCTTCACTTTTCGATGATTATAAAGTTTTTTTCCTCTAAGAAACAGTGGCAAATCTCAGTAGTCTTCTCCTTTTCCTGCCAAGGATACATTATCTCTCCCTCTGTGTGCAACGCCTTTTCCAGGGCTTAATCAGTAGCCATAAGGGCTCAGTTCAAAGGGGGACACAGTTCAAAGGGGGACACTCACAAAGTAAGTGCCTTGAGCACACAGTTTCCCTTTCTTGGGAAAGATTGAACTAACTTTACACAAGTTCAGGAAGGTAATTTTCTCCACTGGGGAGAGGGGGGGGATAAAAAATATAAAAAGCTATTAAAATATTTTCTTACAGGAAAAACAGGCCTAACAAAAAGTGGGGATAATATCTGGTAGTTCATAGCTGAAACACCAATCTTCTCTTTTTTTCCTAAGGGGACACCTACAAGGGCAGGTAGATCTTTCTTCCCTCCTGGAGGACTTACTTGCAGGTGAAGATAATCAAGTTCTGGGGCAATGTCACCAGTCCTGCAGGGCAACAAAGCCTAGACCAAGGCAATGCTGCTCAGGTGGTGTGAGCCATGTCCCCCTAGTACAGCTTTCCCAGGGCTTGGTGTTATGTCAGAACCCCACACAGATCACATGTGATATTTAGGAATATATAGACTTTTTAGATATTTGGATCAATTCAAATCACACTTCCATTTCTTAGCCTTCAGGTAACTCTGAATTCTAAAACAGTATTTTCCTTCTACTCATAGGAGACCTGTAAGCAAGTATTTTCTCCCAGTTGGCTGTACCTTTTTCAACACAGGGCTGGAAGCTGTTCCCTGAGATATCATGGGACCAAGCTCGGTTAAGCCTGGTTATGTGAACCAGACTTTTGTGTTTCATTACTACTGCAAACCATTACCACTTTTCCACTTTGTGGAATGCCTCCTCCTTTTCAACAGAAATGCTGCTCAAACACAATAAAACAACATAGGTAAAGTGTTCAGGCCTGTCTGTTAGTCTTTCCTACTTATTTCCTCTTTTTTCCATTGGATACCTACAGGGTGCTTTGCCTCTGTCTGAAAACTTTTGGAAACTTATTTTCTCTGTTTGCTCTTTCTTTGCAGGAGTTGCTTTCTCTTTTAGATGCTGGGCACCAGATTTTTATGTTTAAAGAAGCTAATTTTTGTGCAGTATATAAAAATGATGAGGCCTTAAAAAGAGGAAGTTGTCCATTCTTCTTCCTTCCCTTTTGCCCTTGAAACACAGATCTTGAGAAGACGAGAATAACGGTCTGATGAAGAGAAAGGGAGCAAAGGAAGCACAAGTGGATGTATCTGAATATATTCTGGTTGCATTCAATTTTACATTGCCTGCTAAGGTATGTCACTAACTCATGAAGTAAGCTTAAAATATCACAATTAAGCCAATAGGTTTTCCATTGTTTTACTGAAACTGAAAAAGTAGTTCTGTACCAAAATGTACACAATTTAGTAATAATACAAAATGTTAATTCTGCAAGACAGAATGTCAGTTAAATCCACCAAAAAGAATACTGAACCACCATTTATTGCCAGAACAGTGTTACTTTAAATAAGATCACTGAATGAACATAAAAACAAAGTAGTTCCAAATTTCCTTAAATAAAATGGTAGCTATTAGCAACAATACTGCAGGAACATTAATGATATTTACATGCCATCATAACATATTTAGCATGTAGTATATCTTCATGCTTGCGCATTAGCTTTATGAGCTCATTACAATGATACTAATGTGCTGGTGTACTACAGAACAACTCATCATTAACTATATCAAATTTGCACATTGGAAGAGCACCTCTGCTCAACGCCCCTTTAGGAGGGCTGCTGCATTCCTGTAAGAAAACCAGTCCGATCCACTGATTCCGCACCCCCCCCCAAAAAAAACCAAACAAACAACAAAATAAAAAAGCCAAACAAAACAAAAAAACCCCTGTCTTCAAATATAATGAAGTATAATTAACAATTTTCATCCTGTGATTAACTAGGCAGGGCGATGCATTTAGCAATATTCCCAAGGGTGAATCAAACCAGAATACACCTGGGTTTTCTGTATTACAGTAAGAACACCTGAGACTGCTTCACTGGTCCAAGTACAGTATTTTAATACAAAAACTGCTTGTTGTATGTAATTTCACTAAATTTCCTTAATTAGTACTTTTCATTGAAAAAATGATAAGATTTCTTTTAAAATAAATAGTTCCCCCTCAAAATAGTTTAAAAGGAATTAGAACGTAAAAACCCGTCGTGTTAAAGTACAGTGTGATTTCTAGCTTCATTTTATGTCAGCTTAAGCAGTGGATACACATCTGTTCCTGGGAAGACATGTTACACACTTAAAAAAATAAAACAATAAGAATATACAAACACACTGTACCCTAAGAGACATCTTCTAAAAGAATTGTAAACATCTGCTCTGGAGTCCTGTTTGAATGCACTATCAAAAAAAGTTTGCTAAACTGCGTTTGCTGAAATTACTAACCTGTCTAACATGTAACCATTTCTGGAGTTACCAGTTTAAAAACAATTTTTTCTACCTGAACAAAGTAACAAAAACAGCTGAAGACACCATTTCTCCCTACTTCAGTATGGATCATATTTAACACTTCAGAACTTGTGGAGTTCAAACACTGAATGCTGCTTAGCTGAAGCAGCAGCAAACTAAGTACCTTATACAGAGAGAGGTTTCTCTAAGGCCAATATGATTCAATAAAGTTGTCTTATAGTCTAAGACCTAAGTTTTACACGTGAACAAAACTGAAATTGGGAGTTCATGGGAAGTGATTAGGCTTCCCATCACTTTAAATAACATGCTTGTCTAACCAGAAAATAAAGATGGCAAGGACTAGTGCATTCAAGCCAGGTTTAGACCAATTTAAAAAAAAAATTAAAAGTACAAAGTCCATTACATCATTTTTCAGGTTGGTAGTTACCAGGAGCTTACTAGTCAAAATAATCTCAACCTGTAAAAACATAAGACTGACCCTTTAAAAAACAATGAAAGCCATGTCCAAGACATCTGACAGGACTTCTTTCATGGAAGTCGTCTTTACCCACTGAAGATCAAAGGCGTAAGTAGTCTCACAGAAGTCCCCTGAACTCTCAGTTTATCTTACATAGAAGTCCTTGAGTTGAAGGTAACTGTCATGCTGAACTTCAGGTTTTTTTTAACCCTGTGCACCTGGTCAGTTGCTAGAACAATCCTTCATTTCAAAGCCATTTTAGTATTCAAGCTGCCTTCTTAGTGCAGGTTCCTTGAAGATCTTGTAGATTTATTTTTGACCTAATAAAAACAGTAAAGATAACTTACATTAGATAGTTAAAATGTTACACTGCTATTATAAGTTGCAATTATCAATGTAATTATTACTGAATCTTGTGCTCTTGGAAGAAGGGCAAAACAGCAGAGAAAGACAAGACTATTTCCATTTCCTACCTGTTGTGGATCATGTGGCTTTTGACTAGATGCCCAGCTGCAAGAGCTGCCATTAGTGATAATTCCCCTGCCATCACTGTACCACAAACAATTTTAGCAAGCTGACGGGCATTTTCACCAGGGTTATCTTGGCTTGCACCTTGAACTCCTAACATCTGGAGAGAAAAATATGCAATATTGTATTATGAAATCTAAGTAAATTCATGCTAAATTTAGTATTAAAGTCTTTCCAGATTACATCCAATCAACTAGCTTTACACCTCTTTTATGTTAAAGATCTTAAGCTTTAGAAACTAGATGCATTAAAACAATTAGATAATTCTAAAATTTTTATATCAAATCCACCAATTTTCAAAAGGCCCCATTCGCACAATATTACTCAGACACAATATACGTAACATGAAAGTCAGCTGTGATTTAAGAAGATAAGTTACTTTAAACTTTCTGATTCATACCTGCAAACAGGCCTGCTGCGGAAGCAAGTTGGTGCCTCCACCAACAGTTCCTATTTCTATAGAAGGCATTGTGCAGCTGATGTACAAGTCTTCATTGGTGGAACCAGTTCGCTCCATCAAAGTGATGCAATTAGAGCTGCCCACATTCTGTGCAGCATCCTTCAGATCACAGGAGGGAGAAAAAAATTAAGAACAAAACACTCAACTAAGTGTCTGGTTAAAAATTACTGAACTAAAGAAAACCTGAATTGGTGTAAAACAAACCTACCTGACCACAGGCAATGTAGATAGCTGTCACAATGTTTGCTGCATGTGCATTGAAGCCACCTATGCTACCAGCCATCGCAGAACCCACCAGATTTTTGTTTATGTTGACTTCAACTATATCTTCTGTAGTTGTCTTCAATACCTAGACAAAGTGATGAACTTTTATTACACCATTCCTTAGGCACAAGTAGAAACACTCTATGGTTAATAAACCCTTGCCCCTTGTTTGTTTCTATACGGAATTTGTCATCATTTTCCTAGATACCTGCTTCTCTCTTTGTTCAGAAGGAGTCCTTTCAAGTGCAGGTAGCATTGCCCAAGTAACAACAGAAAACTCTGTGCAAAGGGTCTGGACTTGCACAGGCCTTTAGGAAAAGCTCATCAGCTACCTTCTCCATTTCAAATTCTCATTTATCTTCAGAATGAAACAAAGTCAGCTTGGCAGAAATATCCCACTAATCCACCATGACATGATAGCAACATTCCTCCCAAGTTGCTCCAGACAAAAAATAAGAATACATAAGAATATGCATTCTGCATAAGAATACAGAGCTAACCTGAAGAGTTCAAATACAAACCACAGTGCTACATTGGTAAATAAACACTGTGCACAGTAATATCAAATCAAGTGGCACATTTATACTATATTGACTGTATTTGAAAACCTTTGGGTAAGAGACTGACACTGAATTTAGTATAAAAATCAAAGAGAACCAAAAAACATAGTGCTGTGAGCGTAATTTAAGATATTCCAGTGTAGCAGGAATAGCAACTGATGAGAGAGATCTGCAAAAGTCTACAACACTGAAAAAATTTTTAAACTTTATGCATTAAGAGTTCAGTGTAAGTAAAGGCAGTAATGTACATGGTTGGGAAAAACATTCCCAATTTACCTAAAAATTATCCATGCCCCATACCAAAGAGCTGGCTATCCATTACTACTCTGGAAGGAAATCTTGGGGTTATAATAGATACTGCCACTGAATCAGCTGTAAAAATGCAAACAATTTGAAAATTAGGAAACTACTAGGAAGCAAACCCAAATGACTTAAACTATGTCAATGTATAAATCCAGCCTGCACACACACTTTGAATACAGTGTCCAACTCAGTATCCAGAATTTTTGAAATTTTAGAACTGAAAAGGATCTAGATGTAAATCTAGAGATAAAGATGTTCAAAGACATGCTAGAACAGTTTTTTTACTCATGCCTGATAGAGAAACTAGTATTTTTCAGTCTGAAAATGAGACCAGCTGGGAAGGTGGAAGGGCTGTATGAGAGCTACAAAATCTTGAGCAGTAGAAGATGGAAGTTTTAAATGTCTCTTCCAGTACAAAACTAGGGCATAATCAAATGGAATCAACAACAAGAAGGAAGTAGTTCTCATACAAGGTGTAGCTGCAGTGTGAAATTTTGCCTGGAATACTAGTGCTAAAAGTTTACATAGTTTCACAAAAGTGACCGGACAAATTATTGGGTGAAAAAAGCAAATGAAAAAATGCCATCAAATACAAAAGCACCAATTCAGACAATCTTGAAGAAGTGGATGGAAGACTATTCCAGCTAAGGTGTAGTAAGCTCCTCCCTGGATGCTGTCTCTCACAGCCAGTGCTGGCTAACAGGTAACAGGCAATGGATTTGGTTTGACACACACACAGACAGCCTTCTGAGCTCAGGTGGAAGACAATCTAAGATAGCTCTCATGATGTAGGCCAGGTTTGCCAGGGGCTAGCACTAGATTTGGTTGTAAAGGTTACCCTTCATCATGCAAGACACTAAAGCAGCACTGGAATTAGTGAAGCACCTGATTACCTGTTTCCATTGTAGTAGAAGGCACATAAACTTTGAAGGGAATGTTGGGTTTGTGCAAGAGTGAAATGAGTGAAATTATAAAAATGACTAGGTTTAATGACAAGCAAAACCCCATGTGTTAAAATCTGTCAAACTGTGGCACAATTTTTCAAAGGTAAAAAGTTAAAATCCAAATGTCTTCAACTAGATAGGTGTCATTAAATATAAGCACATTATGTCAGAAGACAATGAAAGGAAAAAATATCTACTGTCTTAGGAAAAATTACTTCTCCCACAGCAGTATCTGAAAATACATGTAGGAATTATCCTTATCTGGAAAATAACTTAGAGTTAATATTTATGATGTAAGACAGGCATCAGTTTTGTAAAATGTATGCATTTTTATAAACAAGTAAAAGAAAGCAGACACTTACTTCTCTGACAACCTTGGCTGGAATGACTGCTTCACAGACAACAGACTTCCCTCTTCCTTCTATCCAGTTTATAGCAGCAGGTTTTTTGTCTGTACAATAGTTACCACTAATAGCTATAACCTGGAGATCAGGAAACTCTTCATTCAACCTTGCCAGTGCTTTTTCAGTACCCTGTTAGAAGAGGCATAGATATATCATTATATACCTGTGGGGAGGCTAGTTTATGATAACAAAACAAGCTACTCAAGGACAGTGCAACAGCAAGATTACATTAAGTCTAACCAGACCATCAGTTACAACTGAAGAAAAGAACATAATTTCAGGAAGAAACCTGAAACAGGAAAAAACCCACCATATCATCACTATCTTTTTTCAAATTACTTTGGGAATTACATGGGGAATAAGTGGTTCTTCCCAGTACATATGGACTCTCTGGATACATTCTAGGTGAATGGGCATATGCTTACCCATATGAAGGTGCAACATGAACCAAGGCAAATACTACAGACATAAACTGAATTCATTTTGGATGTAATGGAAAGAGCTTCTCTACAGTAGGGAATCAGACAAAAGGTCTGCTATATTCAGTACCTCTCTATGAGCAGACCAATTTATGCAGTGGTTCTGATAGACCTAAATTTTATATAGAATAGGCAATTAGTATTAATCTCAGACAGTACAAGGGATCCCCCCACTCTAGGCATCATGTTTTACGTTCTTCCACGTTTGCATAAAACCAAAACCAAAGAAAACTAGAGAACACCCCTCTGCTGCCATTCACCAGATTTCTAATCCTGTATTTACATGGAACTGTGATTATCACTAACATTAATTACTGCTGTATGAAATCTTAGGCTTAAAGCAACAGAGCAACCAACTTAACTTCCATATTATCAAGAATCTTTAAATAATAATTAAAAAAAAATTAACAAGTTAGTTTTTTCTTTCATCATTCTCATACTATTCTTGACAAGGTAAAAAACACGTATTTCATACCACTGCAAACAGCTCTGTCTTATCTTTCTGTCTTCACATGTCAGGTAGTCATATGTTAGTAGTTTATAATTTGTTTTTTAAAGTACACATTTATTAAAAAGCCTTAAGGAGACTGGTTCTTACTTTCGAAATCATATTCATTCCCATTGCATCCCCTGTTCCAGACTGAAAACGGATATAAAGGTTACGACCAGCCAAACTGATGAGAAGTTTTTGTAGGCGGGCAAACCTGCAAGAAAATTTAACTGTTACTTATAACCCTCAAGGGAAAAGATTAAATTCGATTTAAGTGGCAAAATGTAAGTAAATCATTGCAGAGAGTGCTGTTAACAACACTGTGTTCCTCCTTCCTCAGCACAAGAAAAAGTCTTCAGCTACCATGCACGTAGTTCTCACAAGGAAATGCTTTAAAAATGTTCACTGTAAAACTGTTCACTGCCTTTTTATGTTTTCTATCCTTGGACTTCTTGAAAATATCCTGAAGTGCTATCATAAATCTAATTCAGTTGTATTCCTCAAAACATTTGACTACCAGGTATAAACAAAAAATTAAGCCTTTGGAAATTCTTATGTCAGTTTTTCAGCAAGGCAACAGTGCAAGCTCCACAAGTCAAACAAAAATCAGGAAATACTGCATTTAAACAGCATCATGAGTTGATTCTGGCTGAAATACACATATGTCCTTGGCTGACACTTTTAAGATTGGTAAGAAACAAAACTGATAAGGAAATTTCTCAATCTTCCTAAGAAAACAGGTAATCATAAGTCTTAGAGAAAACTCTAGGACTTGAAGTAGACCTATTCTTAAGACTGTTTTACTTTATTTAGCATTTCAGTTCTAGCATTAGTTTACTCTGTATTTTCTGGAACCTCACAAATTAATTATTAAAATGAGTAATATTATCTGAAAGGCTAGATTCCAAACTTTGAATTACTTTTTTGCATAGTAATCACTAAAAATACAAATGAGCTTTTATGTTTATTTTTAAATACTTAACACATTTAGATTGTTTCATTACATAATGCGAATGTATTTGTTGCTAAGATACAGTTGTTTACCACTTATCATTGGAAAATGTTTATTACTAGCCTTGGTACATAGCCAGAATGACTATTGTTCTTAGATTCACACTACATGGGATAGCCAAAATGACTATGTATTTCAGCATGGAAATAAAACAATCAAACCCATCAGAATGTTCCTACCATCCATAGAAGTCGTATGTCAAGATAAAAGGCTGCAATAGCCCTTGTACTAACCGACTTGTGCTGTCAAAAGCTTCCTTCATTATTTTGAAGCCTTCAGGGGTTTCAAGCCAAACTTTCACTTCTGCAGCCTGGCAAGCAGTGGGCAGCCTTACAACAGGTCCTCGAGTCATCCCGTCTGCCAGAATGCGGCTTCTTGCTCCTCCACCGAGCTAAAAAGCAGAAGGGAAACAAAGATTACTGATAGTGAATTTTAGTTTTTAGGATGTGAAAAACATGCCTTATGTCACCCCAAATATGCTTTATAATACAGTTTTTCAAGCTAGTCAAACAATACTTACACATATTGCTCTACATCCTCTGTTGGTGCTTGCTACAAGACATCCTTCTGTTGTTGCCATTGGCACCTGAAACTCTTTGTTATCCAAAAATAGTGGTCCTGCTACGCCTACAGGAATAGGCATATATCCAATCACATTTTCACAGCAAGCTCCCATAACCTTACAAAAATAATACAGAAGGTATCATGAAGGTTACACTACAGTGGTATGGTACAGCATGTTACATACTATGCCTGTGACTACAGTAAGGTATCTTAGCAAAAAAACCAAAACCCTACTTATAAAGCAACCAGCCAGTTCCCACCTCAAAAAATTAACAGCTACAGCTATCAACAGCTAATACTGGTCAAGTCTACTATTTGGAACACATATTTAATCTTATTAAGTCTTCAACACTATTTTAAAAAACTTTATACTGTTAAATGAATTTTTAATAAACTTCCATTTTAACTTGAGCTGAACTCGGGCTTGGCATTAGCAAAATTCTGCATTTCTGAAATAAGGCAGTTGCATACTTCAGTAGGAAGTATTTTGTGCTGCTCTGAGCTACAAAAGTTACCCATCTCCCTAGGTTTAAAATCAATAGCAATACAAGGTAGTGCCTTATGTTTGCCTTTTTTTTTGTTTTTAATTCTACATCAGTTTTGACCAAGCTAATAGTTAATTCACATAGATCACTTCAAGCACTTATTTCATGTATTTGGAAACTGGTTTTCCAGTGAGTTTTACTTGTCTGCCCTTTACTTACCAAAGAATAATTATAATTCCTATAAGGAAGATACTGCAAAGATGAAGGTTCAGGGAGTTTCTTAGATAACATCTGTCTGCGAATGGACACACCTCGCTCCTGAGTTTCCATCAGGGTTTCCAGTTTGTATGCAGGAATATGCTTAGCATTTACTAAGCTGATAACCTCAGCATCAGTAAGGAATTTTGCTCCTTTCTGGAAATGTAAAGGGTGGGGAGAGAAAGTACAGATTCTCTTGGTGAAAATCCTTTTAAATGTTTCCAAAGGAAAAAGGCTAACAATATTACTTTGACACTATCAGGGTACATGCAAAGGAACCAACTGCCAATGTCATGTTTTATAGTAGGCCAGGATATGATCAGAATATTTTCACTCAAACACCCACTTATATGTGTACATGACAAAGTTTCAGTGACTTGGTATGTCATGAATGACAAAGCAGCTTCCCCTTCTCCTCCACCCTTACTGATTGAAGGATAAGCGACTTATGAAAGGGTTTTAGTTATGACTCCCTCACCTAAGTTATTAAAGCCATATAATTTTCTGAAGAATGACATTACAATCAATAGGATCATTTAAAAGCTGGAAAATGAACTGTAAGAATTATTAAAACAGATGTTGCAGTAGAGGTTACCCCCACCCCTCCAAGTTATTTTTGCATACCTCTGCATTTCCAAGTATACGAACACATTCCTCAATAGAACGTGGTTCTTTCGGTAACTCAATTTCTTCCTCTTTTCCGTTAAGAAATGAAGAAGTTTCCACGGAGTTGCAACTGCCAACTACAAATGTAGCCTTTGTTGATGACTCTGCTAATACAGGTTTTATGACTTCAGCTGCATAAAGACAATTAAAAAGAACTTTGGTTTACAGAATTCTGAAGTTTTGATTGCAAATACAACATGCTAACACAGATTTCACTATTTGTTTCACATATTCAGGAATAGCTTCAGACTTTAAAATGCTAAAAATTACCATTTCCATCTTTCGGAATTAAAGCTTCTTCTACTGTGTTAGATTTCTGTTTGTTTTTCAGAACTCCAGATTGCTTCCTGCAACAATTCTCAGGGACATTTTTCTGGACCACCACTGGAGATGTTATGGGATTCTTCAGTGAGAGTGTGGATTCAGTCTCTGCTTGTTCAAAGAAAATATATTTGACAGCAAGGAGAAGGGCTAATCCAAGAGTGATTACTTGTTCAATATCCATGCTGGCCATTCTAAAACAGGAAAAATCAGAAAGGTAACACATGCGATATACAATTTGTATACAGCATTCTGACATCCCTTTGCTTTAGGAAGGATAATAGTTTCATCATAATTTATGCAGTTACAGAAATTCCATTCAAAAGATATTTTCTACCAGGACATTCAACTATACTAGGTTAGCATAAAGAGGTAACTATTTGTATTATTAACACTGGAAGAATTTTCACATGTCATCAAGCATTTACTAAATCTTAGCTATAAAGCAGTCCCAGTAAGAAAAATGACTGTAAAATATTCACTAACAGCTGTCTCAAATCAATTTAATGCCAATTGATTTATCTCCCAATGATAAAGCAGAAAGTTTCAACTATCATCCTCTACTGGTGATGACTACTATGATGCAAGCTGAACTGTTAAGTGTGTGAGGGGAAACCCTAAAACAGATAGTTCTGAGTTTTCAGATGTAATATGGAACCACAGGTGCCACTAACTCCAGATAAGCTGAAAGGAAAGCAATAGTGACACAGCTTTTACACTTTTTGCACTTCTGTGTGAATGTCAGAAGCTCTGCATAAATAACTACTGTAGCGAAGTCAGAAAATTTATTTTTCAGAGTGCTATGAAAGGTGTCACTTCTAGTGGGAAAAGGTGGTGTTTTGAAACATACAGGACAGCTGGCTCCTCATTATGTTCTTGATTACTTCAAGGAGATTGGACAAACAGAAAAATATTGAAGTATTTCTTATGAAATGTCATCTCTGGTTCCAAGAAATCCTATACTGGTCAGATTTGCAAGTTTACAAGTGTTGTACCCTGGGAGCTTAGCTTGGCAGCACTGGAGAACACACCCAAATCAAGGAAACACACTTCTCTTCTGTGAAGTCACCTACCGAG